CCCCAAAACCCCAAAACCCCAAAACCCCATGAGAATTATTTATAAATAAATTTGTCTAACTTCAAAATAATTCAATATTAAATAATCAAATAGAAATCATCTAAATCATTATTCAATTTTGTAAACCTCTATTTCTAGCACACGAAACTTATTTGCTCCAGCCAAGTACTCTTTTATCTTTTAATCTCCTTATTTGTAACCACTTGGAGGCTTGTATGTGCTTCCAATATTACATGAGTTGGTATATTTCAAATTACATTAATCTTCAATTTGAATGTCACCTAATCCGAACTGCAAAATCTATTTCTTGTAATGGCCAATAGCGTGATCAACAAAGTTCTAATTAACTGGATGTAGAGTAGTTTCAGTCAATGAAAAAATATAAGCTGTACTGTCTTTCTGTGCTTAATAATGTAATTCGGGAGTTTTCCAAGGAACTGATGTGTAACCACCGAATACTTTACCGTGATCACTTAATATAAATGTTATGGAAGGGCCTTGGTTATCGCATCTAGAGTGGAAATCACTCGCTGTAAACCCATGTTTTGAGGCTTTATAAAGTAGACTGCATTATCCTTAAAGTTTAAATAACAATCTCTATTATTGCTGATCCTGGTTGACATAAGGCTCAACTAATCTTTTAAATTCTTTTCTAAATTAAGGTTCCTACTCTGCCAATTATTTTTTCAATTGTTAAATCATTTCATTACTTTTCTTTTATATTACTATTTCGCAGGATTAAACTTTACTTTAGAGTTTAATTTTTTCTGCAGCTTTATCTACTATATAACGCTTGATCTATTCTTGTTGGAATAATGAATCCTTTTAAAATTTTTTGATTTATTCCTGAATTGCATCGCATTTTAATAATTCATCGAAGTTTTCATGAATTTAGAGGTACTCACAGTATAACTTATGATTCTATTAGTTTGATTGCTTTATGGATTCAAGTTAGTAATTAAGAAGCATTTTCTAGTACTCTAAATATTGTGATGAGTTAACTAGCTTTTTGAAATCTTATCTCAATTACTATAAGGAAAATCTAGCTTATTTATCATTATTTGAATATGTAGTCATTTTATTAAAGATGTCTTCAAATTAGGGAAATCCTTCCATTTCAACTTACTGACTATTCTTCCTTTAGATGTTTATTTCTTTTAATTAAGAATCACCAAAGCAAAGATAATAGAGTAGCATGCCTAGAGACCAAATATCTGCATTTTTATCGTATTCCTCTCCAAATTTAACCTCAGGCGCCATGTAATTTAGTTTCCCAGTGAATTATTAAGTAGAATCCCCTTAAGCAGCAACGCCGAAATCGCAAATCTTAAAAATACCATCTTTGAAAACTAAAATGTTTTCAGGGGAAATATCTCTGTGTATAAAGCCTTTTTTATGAACGTGATCTAATCCTTCTATTATTTATAGCATTATGAACGAAATTTCAGATGCACTCATCGACCTGGCCATCTTATACTTTTCTAAATCTTATTCTGCTAGTTCACTTATTATGATAAAGTTGTTTTCATCATCGAAATATGCTTCTTTTGTCTCCAAAATATTTGGATGATGTAAAGAAAAAGATGCGATTTCTCTAATAAGTCTGAGTGAACTTCTAGATATTCCTGAAGGATCAGTAATTAACTTTTTTAAGTCTTGTTATTTGTGTGCAACCATCTATCCATTAGTCAAATCTTAGACTTTACAAACAGTTCCGAATGTCCCTGATTTAATTTCAGCGAATTTTTTGAATTTTTGGCAGTTCTATCTGAAATTTAAGGATACGATCTTCTCCATTTGATATATATTTAATATGTTTTTTACAATTCTTTATTAAAAATTCACTTTAATCTAAAATATCCTTGGAACAAGGGGTTTTGGGGTTTTGGGGTTTTGGGG